CTTGGTCAATTGATTTGGACAGCAGGAACTGTGAGCCTTGGGGCTAATCCAATTAAGTAAAACCGGTTCCCACACGACACACATGGACGACCTGAAAGCCTGTAATTGCCAACCTTGTCGTGCCAGTTCCTCCTCTGACCTTGTCTGTTGTTTATTGTGTGTAGGCTGGAAAGTCTTGTTGTTAATATGTAGGGCACAAACAATACGTTTGTTGAGGAATCTTACTGTGATGTAACATGATATCTAAGTCAAGCTACCGGGGTGTAAGATGGAGTTTATCTTATTGTCAGAGTCAAAAGTCATGGATAACAAAGAAGAATGAATTAGGAGGAATTTGGGTCATTTACTTCCAGATGTCTACATGCGCCTTTTTATTGTTGTAACGGTTTATTGTGCCTCATTTTACTACAAATGCATCTAAATGTTTAGTATCCCATTATAAACATGCTTAAACTAAATCCCCCCATATGTTTTATCCAAAGACGTTTATCCATTTACCGTACGTCTGATTGTAGTTTAAATCCGTTCGTGCAATCCTCTCTGCAACTGAAGGGGTTTTAACTCTATTCAAAGAAATACTCGCTACAATTTGGGAGAATTCAAGGCAATGAAACAAAGAGCCCGTGCATGATGTGAACCTGGGCTGAAAGCATGAATAAATGGCTCACTGCAGACTGGTCTTTGTAATAAAAATAGCTGCCAAATTATACCATTTTGTAGAAAAGAAAGAAAACACCACTGGCCTTGGCTTAACCAGAAGAATGCAGCCAAGAGGACACGGGGAGAGCATATAGAGTCAACATCGCATAATCACATGCGACATACAAAGATGCACAAAAGAGCTCGGTTGTACACCAGACTTATTTATAGACCGACAACTTTAGCCATTTATTCTTTGCATCGTGACTGCAACTACGAATTGTAAATCTCGAAATGTGACACCGGCACTCCAACTCGTGGGGCAGTTTTTGTCTCGCTTTACAGGGCAACAGTAGCAGACAAAGAGTTGCAGAAGGTCTGGCTGTGATTGAGGGAAACAGACAGATGTGAGCCAGTACAGTCTCTCATCAGCACTTCTGACGTATAGAGTTGCTATAAACACAACATAACGATAAGACTAAACTACATCCCACAATCAAGCTGCCCTAATAACCACTTTTATCTGGCTCTGCTGTTTGTGCACATAAATTCCTCATCTCTCCCTTCAGTTAAGCTGCAAGCTGTCAAACATCCGGCACTGATGAAAACAAACCAAAGGCAGAGATTTTAATTGTTGTTGCTTCAGCTTTCCTTCCACCCAACGGCCGCGAATGGTTTAATGGATGGATGCATGCATAGGCGGCTATTTCTGCCTTGCTATAATGTGTGGGGCTGTGAAGAGTGTGTATGTGAGTTCAGAGGGATGGGCGTAGGGTTAGATGGGAGAATGAAAAATGACCCCCCAAAAAAAACATAAATAAAGTTGGGTTACGAAAGACACAAACAGAAAGTGGGAGTTATATGTCAACAGTCTTATTGCTGCTCTACATGGCCAAAGACAAAAGTTAGCGCTGCATAATACTGTCTGTTCTTTCCTGGACATTGAAAGTTACTTTCTGAAGCACTCAAGCACTTTCCAAGTACTTGAAGGTTACTTTCCAGAATGCACAAGGCACTATACTGAAAATTTGTGGATGAGAAGTATTCGAACTTCAGCATACATTTTAATATTGCCTCCTTCTAATAAATCTTATTTCCTTTAAGCATCCAGTATCTTCCAGGAAAAGTACCAAAATGGGTTTTAAGAAATACATAGCACTACTGGACACCTACTGGCTAAGTACCCTTTTAAGACCCACTTCATAATACAGCCTAGAACCCAGGAATTTATAGCAAGGTAACCACTAATGCCCAAGAAAGTAACCAGTAAGCTCCAGGAAAGTTCCAGTAAAATGACTGGTAAGCTCAAGAAAGGGACCTTGAAGTTGCAGAAAAGTACCTCATGAGTTTCAAGACTGTAATCATAAAGTTCCATGAACACTAAAGGAGAGTACCCATTAATTCCCTAAAGAAAGCCCGGAGAGCACATAGTTCGATCCAGAAATGACCTTGGACGTTCTGGAAACATGTCAGGTAAACGTAAGCTCCTAGAAAGTTCAGGAATATACTCTTTCTAAATTCTAGAACATACAGGTTAGCTGTATATTCACCTGAAAAGTACATAATACACCCCATCCATCCATTTTCTGAACACCCTTGTCCCTCAGTGGGGTCGGGAGGGGTGCTGGTGCCTATCTCCAGCTAACATTCCGGGCGAGAGGCGGGGCACATCCTGGACAGGTCGCCAGTCTGTCGCAGGGCCATAATACACCCCGTAACATGTAAATCTGTCTGGAACTATGTAGGCATGCACTGAAGCTGACAAGATTCTCCTGTTTCATATCGATATAAAGCTTCCCAAATCAACGATGAATCAGTTAATGGAAGGTGCATCTTTTCTCTTCCTGACTGAAACTTCTTGATGCAGACACGCCAGCCAAGAGAAACTGGAAACCTTTGGTTTCTCTGTACACAGCAGCTAAAACATAATTCAGCAGTTAAGTTGTCTAAGTTTCTTTTCATTTAAACTTCAGGAAGGGTAACAACATTTAAGTAAGTTTGAGATTTTATAAAACCATCAATTCTATTAAAAGTGTTGACTCTGTGGTCTGGACAGGTCCTAACTACTCATTGGCGCTGCTAGAAATCCCCAAGGGTGGACATGCCTCAATCCTCCACAGTTCTGGTCGACACATACAACACTCCTTTATTTCATCTTTCCTCCCAGTAAATGCTGTTTTTACAGACAAGTTCAGGTGAGCTTGCCAAGTGCCAGCTGGCACCTAATAGCTGCTGTATTGGCAGCTGCCACGTCAACACTGAGTGCTGATTAAAATCACATGGTTGCTTCAGCTGATCTTAGTGCTGACTGAACATGAAATATTAGACACATATTGGTACACCAATGCAAGGTCTTAATCGGTGTTTTCATTTAGGACAGTGTTGCCGTTCTGAACTTGATCCAAGCTGCAATAAACTCCGGACAAATAAAACGCAAATAGCTAAATGTACACAAGCGCTTTTGCATGTGGTAAACCGGCAACTTTATGGAATATACATAAACACGTGTGGTTCACAAATAATCTGTGAAAAACAATCTGGCTACTTGACTCGACTTCCTTCACTTCATTGTGCCAAGCGCTCCTCTGTGCAATCCCTAATTCTTGTCCTCCTCTGACATGAAGGCAGTTACTGCTAGGCGGGTCCGGTAAGCACACTCGGGTGGAGTTAACGCCACCAGCGGCTGTAATTTGGTGAGTTCTGTGCCTAAAAAAAGGAACTGCTTGGCAGCTAGTCTTGTGCCGCCAAGCTTCGATGTGGTGGCAAGTTGTCCGGCATTGCAGAGATGAGGCCCAAGTAAAGCTGAGCGGAGGAAAAAGAGTAACACAGATACATGAAAGTAAGGCCAAATGTCTCAGCAGCAGAGAGATTTGGTGAGACCTGAAGGTTCGCACCTGTGGGCAGATGGTTTTTGCTCTAAGAGTACAGATTTTCTGAAGTAAGAATAATAAAGCAGAGAGGCCCTCTAGAAGAATTGAAATAAAAAGCCACTGCTTGGATGCAGCTATTTTAAAATTCAGCCTTCAAAAGAACGAAGGAGAGAACTCGGAGAGAATATGACACAATTAAAACAGAGACATGGACATACAGGGAGTTAGAGAGAACACAGACTGGCAGGTACACAGTGGTCAACCCACAGACTGGCTAATAGGCAGGCAGGGAGGAAGGTCAGGAAATACACACATCACACCATCAATTTCCACTGTCTGACCAATTTTCAGAAAGTCTGACGTGGTGCTGTTTGGGCCCATACAGTCTAAGTATTTAGTTTCATGAATACAGGTTTTGTGAACATTAAAAAAAAAAAAAAGACTAAGTACTTCATCTATGAAGCTGTTTTTTCCCAATTGGTGTTTGGTTTACTGTAACACACCACAATAAAGCATCAACTAACTATGAGTCCAGGACTGGGTTGTGAAATGAGTTGCTTGTTGTACCTTGGAAATATCTTGAATTTGAGTCTTATTGAAAAGTAAAGGTGTATTGATTGAGGGATAAACGTCAGAAAGTGCAATGCAACTTAATTATCACATCCCTTGAGCTGAGTGGAGATTATTTGCGCCATCTAGTGTGCGTGTCGAGAACTGTACAACCAAACTGTAACAGGTTGAGTGGAATAACTGCATACGTTTTTTTCTTATGCAGATATTATTTTCTATCCTCTTCTTTTCTTTTAATTTCCCTTTCTTCTGTTTTCTTTTCTTTTCTTTTATTCTATATTCTTTTCCTCTCTTTTCTTATCTTGTCTTTTCCTTTCCAACAATAGTTCCGAGTTCAGCACGTTTAAACGTAAAGATTTGTTAATGCAATTGCTTCCTCTCTGTAGCATGAATAGCAACATTAAGACGCAGCCTACATTGAAAATAAAGAAAAAATATTAATAATAAAAAAATCTTAATGTGAAGCAATAGATAGAATACCAAAACTAAAATAGCCAAAACTAAAATGTCAGGTCTGAATAAAATCAAACTACTTTAGAAAGTATAAAGTAATCAAACTTCCTACCTTTTTTTGTTGTTGTTGTTGAAGAAATAAGATTTTCACTCCGAAATAAACAGGATAAAGGAGATTTTTTTTCTCTCTCTCTCTCCTTCTCCCCCTTCTCCCTGTGAAGACTTAAAGACGAGCTGCTATATTTTCATCACATTTAGGGATAGTCGCGGTGTCTCCCTCTCACATCCAGTCGCAGCTCCTCTCCCGCACTGCGTTCCTCTGCGAAACGTGTCAGACCACCGCGTGTGCGTCGGGGAATGACTGCGTGTCTGGAGAGTCTAGCCCATAAACTTAACAAGCCAGCCTACTTTCTGGCTTTCGGGGTGGAGGGAAGAATGGGAAGTTGAAAGTTGAGGAAAATTATTTAGTCAAACGCATAATTAAATAAATCTTCACAATCACCCGTTTAGCATAAATGATGTTCACAGAAAATGTGTCCTCAGCTAGTTATCAGACATTAAAACAGTGGGGGTGGGATAAAAGTTACAACCCCCTTTACTCTGTCAACACCAAATAAAATACAGTGAACCCAATTGCCTTCAGAGCTCAGTCATGTGTGGTTCAGTCTTGGGAATAAATCCTGCTGCTTTGCGAAGACATCTAAGATTTGTTAGGCTGCACAGTGAGTCGTTGTTGTTGCCTTGCAGCAAGCAGGTCCTGGGTTCGAATCCCAATATTTTGGTGTTGAGTTTGCATGTTCATCCTGTGCATGTGTGGGTTCTCCCACAATTGGATTTATTCGACCTTAGTTTGTCTTGTTAATCAAGAAACAGTTATTAAATTGTTTCTGTCCGTCAGCATTAAAGTCCTTAGCAGAATTTACATTGGGTCCCCATTCCCGCTTTGCACTATCATTTCAAATTATAGCACCTCAAATGATAAGAGACAGTAAATTTTCCATCTTACTTTGTTAGTCTGGCAGTTGTGTAAACAATACGGCTCTTTGTCAGTTCATTTGAATTGTAAAAAAAACTTTAAATTTCAAATTTTATGAACAAATCAAGAATCTTTGCCATTCATAACTCTTTTAATCAGAGTTAACCACAAATATGAAGTTTTAAGATATAAAATCTGTTGGAGAAATCAAGTCCTCTCCGGTGCCCCCTGCTGGCCCAGCCCCAACAGTTTGCTTATGAAGTTGTCTATCTCTAATTAATGAGAAAGAAGCAACCCACTTTAGTTTTTATACCTCAAGGCCACAATTTTATAAAAGTGTTCTTCACAGAGGTACTTTTTTCCCCCTCTACTCTCATTATCATAGAAACCTGTTTTTTTTTCCAAGAATAACGTCTGATTGTATAAAGAGGTGTTTTCACACATATTTGTAAGATGATTACTGCTGTTATAAAACTGGCCTGCAGAAAGTCTTTCACAACACAGTCCCTGGACGATCTTCAAGGGTGATTGCAGAATAAAACTTTTTTTTCTGTAGGACTGATTCTCAATTTTGAAGTAACTGATTTCTTTTTTCTCTTTCACAGTTTCCTATTTAATCCTTTTTTTTTCTTTTTTTTGCTGGATATCGGTCCATTTCTCTCTCTCTCACTCACTTCCTCCATTCCATCTGGGAACTTTTCCATCCTCACGTAAACACTGTCACACGTATGTTTTCTAGACATTTACACACACCACTTGAATCACTGCTACTCGTATACTGTAGAGTGAAATCAATTTGACATTCATTACTATTTATGCAATTAGACATAGACACACATAGCTGCATTTTGATCTATATGTATATACATATTTTTCTTTTCTGTAGATGTATGCAGACCAGATCAATGCCCCCCAGGGGGTTAATGGCAGTAAAAGTCAGATAAACCCTTTTTTGCAGATGATACTCCGTCTTCCTCTCATTCTCTCCTTTGGGAAGAGAATGTGGATGCAAGTCTTTCTCTTTGCTCGTGTGCATCCTGCTGTGGTTCACTTGATTATGGTGTTAGTCTATAGCTAGAGGGCTTGGCATTCAAATTAAACCCGTTTTGCCCTGTAACACTCGAGCAGCTAACGTGTCTTTAGAGATCAGTGCAACCACTCGCTTTGTCTTGAGTCGGCGCTGCCATTTTGTGTTTTCTATTTGAGGCGAGCAGAAGGAATTATCAAGATTTTCATCTTTGATTCATGGTGATTCATTGAGTGCTAATGAAAGAGTGGCTGCTGTTTAGCACTTTTCAGCAAGCACTTAGCATGCGCTGCAGAAATAGACAAGTTACCCGTTTCTTCTGAACAAAATACATTTTCTCTCTTTTTCAGATATCAACAAAATGAAGGTCTTTGTCGATGAGGGCATTTGTTTCACACCAAAACTTGTTGATATCTGGAACGCAGCACACATACATCTTCATGCATCTGAGTAGTGGATGCAACAGTTTTCTTCAGTTCACAATTTCTAATATGTTGGCCAAATTGTTTTATGTTTTTTCCCCAGGATGTCGCACCAGAAAGTGATGGGGGTTGGGGTGTCGCCTTTAAATAAATCCATAACCAACTCCATTCATGAACTACTAAAACCTCGCAAATGGATGCCATAATTATCTGGGCTTTTGCAAGTGGACATGATAATAATACTGGTGATTATTGTGGTGTTTAGCAAATCGTGTCTTTGATACTAACTGACCTAAACCAGGAAAAGTAATTTAATGTCAGACTCAACAACAAAACCAAACAGCTATGCCACCTATATATTACATCTATCACTATTTAGTTGCAATTGCACTTGAGTGTAGATTAGAATTTAATGCTGAATCTGTAAACTATCCTCCTTACCTTATCTCAAATTATTTGTTTATTCCTTGCAACCGTCCTCATCAGAGAGGGGATTCTTTTGCTGTTTGTTATCCATGTTTTCTCATACTTTTTTATTATTATTATTTTATCAGCTAGCACCCCCTCCAATCCAATAACAAACACAGGAAGCTGCTGTCATGGAGCAGAACAGACAGTACGCTGGAAAGGAGAAGTCTGACACCGCGCTTCGGTCAACCACTTACAAATGGGACCTGGCTTTAGCCCGACATGATGCGAAACAGCTGTTGTGTGCACTTAGCAGTTTGGTAATGTGCGCTACAATGGACAGCGTTCGACATGTCAAACATGTCAGAAATGAAAACTACACCCCGTGCCTGTAGCATCCACTTGAGCAGGAACACCAAAGAAAGTCTCATCTCAACAAGAAGTGTAAAGGAAATGCAGGGTAAGAGCAAATGTGCAATTTCTTAGTCAGTAGTGTGCCATTTACAAAATGACTATACAATTATAGAGACTGGAGATTGCACCAAATATACAAGACTACAGCAGAGGCCTAACATGTGATTACATGCCCAAGCAGAGAAAAAGACAACATGGCATGCGTTTGTCTGCTCATGTAAAATATTCTAAACATACATAGTGCATTGTTTACGCTGTCATCTGCCTCCGTCATTGGCTTTTGTTTTGCAACTCAAACGTCTGTAAGAGACCTTCTGGTCTTTATTTAGAGCTCCAGAAACGAAGCTCTGTGATGAAACCTCCTACCTCAGTCGTCGTAGTTTATATTGTAAAAACACCATCTGTAAATCTTTATTTCCCTCTCGGAACATGACTCAGTATGTCATTTTTTTTTTTTTTTATTTATTACTCAAAGTGATGTACTGTGCAATGTGTGACCAGAGATTAAACTAATGATTACCCTGGCAATGAGTTTAAGTGACTCAAACTTAAATAAGATGTCAAAAATGTTCGATTTACAGGGATTTTTTTTTATTTGTTTGTTTTTTGTTTTTTTCAGGGGGGGCGGGGGGTTTGCTAAAATTCTTATGATTTTATGAAACACTTATGTAAATCATCCTAACACTCATTGGATGTCTATATGGCATATTTATCCCTGCCTGGCCCCACTGCAAATATTTCTTATTTTCAAACAGATATACTCCATGTAGAAAGGAATAAGGAAAGTTTAAATTTAAAACACGTAAACTAAAAAGAAAAGAAGGAAAAAACAAAAGAGACAATAAGATCTGGAGGAGGGTAATTTAGGGGTTAGTCTGGTATAAGAGCACAGGTGGTTTCCATCTCTCAGTGGGTAAAGAGCTCTCATTGTGACCTAATTCCTGCTTGTTTTACCTTCTTTTAATTTCCTGCTCAAGTCCCATTGTGCTAAAAGTGACACTGTCTGTTACTCACATCTTTCCACTCACCAGGTTTAGAGACTTTCTTAGGACAGTGGTTGATTTGTGGTTTTTCAAACACAATTCAGTCCTTGTTCAAGTTTCCACTCAACTTATTTCAGTTTGTCATTTTGGTAACCATAGCAAGAGTAAATATAGGATGCTATTTTATACGATGATTTCATTTAGTAAGAGAAAAGCTTCCTAAACCAACCTGGCTGTACAGCGATGGGACAAAAGTGTTTGCACCTTTCCTCTTTTCCTTTTTTTGTTGTGCATGATTGTCACACTTAAGTGTTTCAGAACATCAAACCAGTTTAAATGTTAGTCAAAGACAAAACAAGTAAATACAAGAACATTGTTTTAAATGGTAGTGTTCATTCTTGAGGGAGGAAAAAAAGAATCCAAACCTTAATAACCCTGTGTGAAAAAGGGATTGCCCTCTAAACCTAATAACTGTTTGTGCCACCCTTGGCAGCAAAACCTGTTATAAAGTATTTGTTATACTTGACTTTGATCACTGTGGAGGAATTTTGGCACACTCATTTGTTCTAATTCAGCTGCTTTGGATAGGTTTTGAAGCATGACTGTCTTGTTTAAGCTGATGCCAGAGGATCTTCACTAGATTTCAGTCTGACATTTTGTCTGCACTTGAACATTATTGTTGTGTTTTCTTTTTTGTTATGGTATTTTTTTTTTTGCTTGCTTTCCTGGATGCTCTCACCTCATCTGGAGTTAGAAAACTGATATGATGTTCATATTTGTCCTCTAAGTGGGGCCCTTTAAGGTCACATTGGACTTTTTTTTATTTTTTTTTTTGGACACCCAAGGTCAGATTGCTTCAGGCTGGTCTGCATCCACACCACACCCCTAGTTTAATTCTACTCAATTAAAGACTCTCCTTGCAAGGACCTCAAAACTACTCTAGAGACATTTTAAACACTCTAAGTAGTAAAATTCCCAAAGAAGCTTGAGGCTAAAGACTTAGTTACCCTGTGATTTTGAGCAACTGTGAATTACAGTCAAATTTATTGTCTAAAAGAGTAAAGAAATCAAGCTACTGTGTGAGGTTCATATTTTCTTTATTGCGTGCCAAAATACTACAATATACTACTTAGAAATGGATGTGCTGACTTGGCTAGTTAAGTTGTAAGTGTTTTCTGATAACACGGCAACTATAAAGATGTCAAAAAATGACAGAAGCTGGAGAGAACTGTATTGCTGTTTGTCGTGCTTACGCACAGCATATGTGTCAGTTCATGTACGTTTGCTGTGGGTACAGGACCAGTCCCTGTGTGTCCGTCACACAGGAGAAAGCTTTCGGGGGGATCGCCTCCTCCTCCAGGAGATTATATTCCAGGTGGACAGAAACCAAGGTGGAGACAGAATTACCAGGGTGGCACACTGCCCACTGCCTCACCTGCCTAAACCCACAGAACACAGATTCAAATTAGATCTAGGTCACGGTTGTTCAGGGAAAACATGAAGATTTTAAACATTTCAAAAGCATCCCTACCTGATCTGATTGTTTTCCAGTCTCAGCACCTGCAGGTTCTTGAACTGCCTGACACATCTGGGGACGTCCTGCAGCCTGTTGTTGTCAAGCAGGAGCTCGCGCATGGAGCGGTAGGTTCCAACGAAGGAATGCCGCTCTACACCCTCGGTGCTCAGTTCGTTGTGGGACAGATGAAGGGACTGCAGGCCAGCACGCATGTGACGGAACGTGAAGGCAGGGATGTGACGTACGCTGTTGTGCCGCAGGATCAGTTTACGGAGGAAGCGAGGCAGATTGACAGGGATGGAGGTGAGGCGGTTGTGCGACAGGTCCAAGTCTTCCAGAGATCTGAGAAATAAACAATCAGGACAATGAAAAAAGGAATCCAAGTTGCAGTCGTGTGATTCTGTTTGCTGTATCAAGGGAAACAACACTGCTTTATGCTCAATGTGACACTCGCATCCAAAATGACCTTTCATAGCTATTTAATGAAAAAAAAATATTTCCCTCATTCATTATGTTGTACATTTTTAAAGTTTCACACTGAACCTATTGCACAATTTCTTGTAATTGCACAATTTCCTGCTTTTGCTTAAACTTGCTATTCTGTTATTTGAAACGCTCTGTGATTTTTGTCTTGAAAGTTGCAATATGAACGGTGTTTTATATGACAGTATGCAATCTTTTACAGGTCTCAGGACTGAACATTATAATGGATGCCCAACAATCCATCATTGTCCTCCTGTTTTGCATTTACTGGACTCTTATGAGCATTGCAGGGGAGGCCGAAAGCTAAGACTGCAGAGCAATATTGGAGAAGGCCAGGAAAGCTAACACTGCACTCTGGACAGAGGTAGGAGCTGGGGAGTATGGTAGCAGATACAAAGTGATATGGTATGGTGTGCAAATATTATAACAATATAAGTTTTAGTTTGCAGAAAACAGAGTAGATGTCTGCAGGGACAGAGGGGGGGATTCTTGGTTCCGAGGCAAAGATGTGTAGAACTGAGAGTTCCACGTTTTTGTTGCATGATCCCACACAGCTGTTGTGAGTTTGATGCAAGAATCACAGCAGGAGACGGACCTCGTTTTCTGTTCTTCCCAAACACGAATGGACAAAAGCACTTAGTTAGCCAGCTAATGCCCATGTGGTCAAGTGATTTGGGTATCATGGAGAAAAGAAAAACAAATAGGTGTGTCTCCCCTTTTTAGTCACAGAGATATGACAAAGAAGGGAGACACTCCAAATTTTAAGGCAAATTATGAAAATGTTTATTAACTTAGCATGAGATTTAACCAAGATAAAAAGCTGCAGTGTGATAAGATGCCAACCCAAATCAAAACAGATGAAAACCAGGACACTGTGGTCCTCAATGCGCACTGCCCTGCATGTCATAGATGTCTCCCTGTTGTTGTTTTTTTTTTTTTGTTAATCCTGATTCAGGTGACTGTAGTTCAGCAAGTGACTGTTAATCATTAATCAATTGAAATCAGCTGGGCAGGGCAGTGTGCCTTGAGGACCAGGGTTGGGAAACACTGCACTAACCATCACAAGACCTAACTAAATCCAGCAAAACAACCCAATTAAATATAACCAAAACAACAAACTTAAACAAAATACCAGGACTAAATGCCAAGGGGAACGCATGAGCAGCCCGTTGATGTGAGGAGCTGCCAGGTTTAAATAGGATGGGAACATTGGCCCAGTTGCTCCCAGTCAGGGTCCAAATCCAAGCCACACCCAATTTCACCTGAGAAACAAAGATAGTTAAACAGGGGAAGACGGGAGTCATCGGAGTCTCACATCGATCCAGGCACTCGGTGGGGTCATTAGTTTGAGGAAGTCTCTGTTTACTCTCATCCATTGAACTTGCAAAACTCGGAGGCTTCACTCTTTATTGGGCTTCTTCCTTTGTATGACAGACCTCACAATTTCTGCTGATTTATGATGATTTGCAAGATTCACACTAAAATTTAGAGGAAGAATCAGGTCCTCGTCTTGCAGGATGATTTAAAAACGTGTGCTGGCTTCCTTCAGAGAAACTTATGAATAATATGAGGAATTATCTCACGCCAGCATACAATAAAAAGGCTCTTTGTTTAACCTTCGCTCTGCTCTCTTACTTGTCTAACCATGTTGTTTCTGCTCTTGAAATCCTACGTATCTGTCCCTGCACCAGTTCAGACCAGTTGTGCGCTGCTGACTTGTGTTCGAAATCTTTGCCAGTAAGCACAGTGGCAGTCCGCCACTACTCAGAGCTCCACATGGGATTAATGAGCGGAGACATAGAGCTCTCTTCTCAGGAAGAACTGTAGAACCCTCCACCACCCACGCTCCCCACCCTCTCTCCACCCACAGGCATCTGCACACAAAAACACATACGCACATTCAAACAAATGACGTGAAGCAGATCGACTATCGCACACAGAAATCTCCTCTGCGTTGTTACTTTTGCGACCACAAAAAGGTACACAGCATCAGAAGGAAACAATTTTTTTTTGTCTTTACAAGTCCGGGTGTCCATGCGTTTAGGCAAACCATGACCAAGTATAACCTCAAAAAGAAGAAAGAAAAAAGAAAAAAGAAAAAGCACAGTAAACAGTACTTAAAAATGCACACATCTCCATCTGTGTCAGCGTCACACATGGCAGTTGCAGAACACTGGCAGCCAAGCAGGGTAAAGTTAAATCAGCCAGAGCGGCTGTGCCAGGTAAGAAAAAAAAAAAAGACAAAGTGCGGACTTGAAAACACACTGATGGATGAAGAATGGCAATACAGGACTTTGGCTTTATTAAAGCAACATGTGCACCTCCGTGCACATCCAAATGTATTAACCTGAACTGATTTCTGGAAGTGTTTTGAAAAATTTGTCAAATCTCTGCAGAACATGTCGACGAATATTTGGATTTGATTACAGCTGAAACGTAATTTGATTTACTGTAGCTGCACTTCTTTTGCTCCGAGCATTTTGTATTTGACGACGTTCTGTAAAAAAAAAAAAAAAAAAAAAAAAAAAAAAAGCTACAGTTCAAAATGCAAAATGCAGATGAATCCCTTACGTGAACTGACGCTCATTTAATTAAATCCCTCTCATTTGATGTCAGTGTGGTTTTATCATAGGCGGGGTGTGCAGTGTGCAATGATGTGCACAATTCTGCTTGTGTTCCTGCTTACATAAGCTCATTATGAAACCAATTTGTGAGGCACCAAAGACAAAAAGAGATTTTGGGACGAGCGTATTCAGGCTAAGACTCAACATGGCATCACACACACACACACGCACACGCATGCACACACTTCTGGTTTGATGATCGCTAACCCAATATCGCCTTGTACTCACTCTGACTGTAGTGTTTGGAAATCAACACAGCTCTCCCACAGCTGTCTGTCTGCCAACACCACTATATTAATAAAAGTCAGAAATTCAAAACAGCCACATGTTCACGCACAAAACACAACAAAGCACTGTTTTGTAAGCGGCTTATCACAAAAAGAAAAAAGAAAAAAAAACCTAGGTTACAAATATTTCACTAATAAATAGGCTTTATGGGGGATCATTCAAAAATGCAACCATTTGAAGCGTTTGTGAGGAGGGGGCTTTATGTAAGAGCAATCAGCGAAAGTAGTGCTCCATTCTTTTTACATGTGAAGTGGTGAGTCAAATGTGTTGGCTGGAAGCAGCGATGCAAGCAAAGAGAAACGATGACTGACATCTTGATCAAGAACCAGGAGCAGATAAACAGGCACTGTGTTTTTTTTTTTTTGCTTGTTTGCTTGTTTTACAGCTGGGAGAGAATGAGGAGGACGGCTTTTTGTTGCGCCGCGTCAGATTGCTACTGCAGCAGAATTAATGCTAAGCCACTGCACAACCAGTTACGTAACAAGAATACCAAGAATACAAAAGAGGGCACAGAGGTCAACGCGGCTGGAATGGTGTTAAGATGTCATATTTAAATAAACACACAGTAAGAAAGCAATAACAAATTAATTCCTTGTAAATACGGGTTTGAAATGAAACAGCTTATTAAAATGAGGATAAATGGGGGGGTGGGGGGGAGTTTCACTACAGCGTACGATAGGTTGCCAAAAACATGTTCGTTCTCGTTAGCACTTGTACTGTAGCTTCACTTACCAGAATACAATTAAAATATTTTCATAGTAACAAAATATTAAAATGGAGTGTCGATACACGCTTTGCAGAAAATCATGATTGAGTCCAACCAGTGAAAAACTAGGAGCAAATTTTGTATTTCCATAGGAATTTAACGTAAATAGAAGTCGAGTTATGATGAGCTAATGATCTTTATCATCTGAGGTTTTATAATTTATTTGGTCTGAGAACAGTGTGTTTAAAAATATTTTTTTTAAAAATGGAAAATAGGAATAACCATCACTCCAAAAATATATGTAAAGGTTTTAATGTGAGCAAAAAAAAAGGAGTCAGGGTTGAGCAAACTCCTTTCTTCCACTATGCCAACAAGAAGAGCACCAGCAAAGATCTTAGAGAGGTTACATTTTCTGTCTATTAATCATAGAATAGCTATAATAATTTTGTTTATTCAATGTATAATTATATTACACCATAATTATGCAGCAAGGAAGATTATTCACAAGAAGAAACCCTTCAAAGCAGCTGCCAGTTTTCCTGGATTAAGAGCTTCCTGCAAGTTCAGGCCAAGGTCACGTTGTGCAACGCTCAATAAGCAATTTAAATAAACCAAAAGTTACAACATAAAGTTCCCTTTTAAATGTTAAAGTGATAAAAGACGGAGCGCGGTTACGGACTGTTTGGTCAGATTCCGGGGAAAACGCTTCATGTCTCTTAACGAGTGAGCAGCACAGCATATGTTTGTGAACAGACGCAGATCCATGACTTGTGTAGTGATGAACTTTAAAAGGAACACAACAAAGATGTAAATGATTGGTCATTATGTAAAGCCCATTTTCTGAAAAGCAACCATAAGATATCAGCACAAGCAATACAAAGATGGTGGTAAAAAAATGTGTTAACATAGTCATAAATACTTCTGTATACCTGTATATCTGAGACCGGAAGACAAAGCCTGAAGCTAAAAATAGGGACTGGGAGGCTAAAAAACAGAAAATCCAGAGGAGGGCGGCTGAAAAACAAATGAATCAAGCCAATGCAGTAACCTCACAAATTTCTCGAGTTCACAGAGATAGTGATGCTGTGGCAGCAACTAAAGAGACAGGCAAAAATGAACTTCTACAAACTTCAATAACCTTCAATAATTCTCCACAGCCATTTGAGACAATTACTTTAGCTTATTCTGCTATGAATAACCTAAAGCTAAAGCTTTTGAACCATGAAGTACAATTATTATTATTATTGTTATTTTTGTTTGTTTTTTTACAAACTCCTTGTGTAGCGTCTTATTTTCGGTTTTTTGCTGTTAATTGCATTGAAAGATTTGATGTGTGGTTATTCACTTTGGGTTGTAGTGAACTGCTAACATTCACTGATAATATCGACTTAAGTCAAGCTACCTTCATAGTTAAGAAGCAAATTGTTTTCTGCTTGTCAAAGTTGGACTTCAGTGTTTATATGTTGGTAAAAAAAAATAAAAAATACTTCTTCTCTTTTTCTGAATACTAAACAAATGTGTCCCCATTATGTTTATGACTTTGGGGATTTAAGTCATCTTTGCACTGCATATTTATCCTAATATTTTCCAGCTACACAGTATTAGGGAGGCAGATAATGATGTAAGATTAAAGCATGGCCCCCAGTCTTCCAAAGACAGATCCCAGATTTTACTTCCAGTCCCAAACTCCCTGTAACTTCCTGTACACTCTAGTTTAAGCCCCAGCAGGATGTAATAAACACATTGACTGCTACACAGTGACCAGAGGCACTCCACTAACTAGAGCCAGCACGTTGCATTAAAGTATTTATTTTTAATTTCTCCTATTTTTTTTTTTTTCCATCTGACTGTTTTGGACAACAACAAGAAAAAGAACCCCACAAGGAATGAGCTTTCTTGCAGACTCAGCATTATTGTCTTAAAATTAACTAGATCCTGGAGACGGTACGGTTAAATATTTCACAATCTGGTACCTATGCAAAGCTATAGAAAGTTGTAGAAGTCTTTTAAAATAGAGCATTTACAATTACCAATAGGACAGTTAACACATTTATCAACAGTGAGAGCAAATGTCAGGCATTATTAAATACACTATTACTCGTATCTAAAATATTTATTATTTAGGGCATTAAGGGCATTTTATTTATATTGCCTTTGGATTTCACTGCTTTCGTTTTGATAAGAAAATCTCTAAGTCTTCGATTTCATCCCCCTCTCTACCACTTTGCTCTGTGCATAACTTGCGCAATCCCTTTTCAGCTGCCTCTCCTGCACTCCCTTCTTCATTCTCTGTTCCTCTGCGTTACTTGAACTTGCATTGTGGTTCACAAGGATCCAAGGGAGAAAAAGACTAACCCTCCGGAATTCACTATATTTAAACAAACGCACACACGCAGGCACACAGTTACCCTCGAGGCCTAAATCACACCCCTGCTCTTCTAAGTACACAAAGTCGGCTGCCATGACTTGTAGAATATGTAAATATGACTGCATGAGAGAAAGTGAGGGAAAGGAAAGAAAAAAGAACTTTGTGTGCTGAAAATAATTACTGTAATACCATTAAAAAAAAAAAAAGTTTGTAATTGAGAATAATACCAGCCTGAGGTATCGATTATGACAATAGTATACTATTGCTGGTAGGTAAAAAAAACACAAAAAAAACAACTTTACTTCTCTTGGGTTACTTCAGACCTTCTTATATTTAACTAAAACTGGTCAGAGCTTCCAAAGGGCAGTTCGCCCTCTTGTGGCAAATTAAGGAACTACACAAATCATACGTACCTAAGACGGGTCCAAGTGTTGATATTGATGCTTTGATCGTGGATATAGTTGTGTCTCAGATCCAGCACTTTCAGATGAATGCAGTCCCTTAAGGCCTCAGCGGCCACCTCTTCAATCAGGTTTCCATTCATTTTCAGCACCTAGAGAGAAGATGATCAACTTTGGGACATTGCTTTAGAATCTCACTCTGCTTAAAGATTATATACCTGACCTAAACAAGTGAGCTTCTTTGTAAATTATATTTTTATTTATAATTTAGTGGTGTCAGTAGAAACTTAGCTGACTACAAATGCATGCCATACTATTCAGATCTTTATTTCTGGAAAACATTTGAAAATCATGGATCTTTTTCCTTCGACTTCCCAATTGTGCACGACTTTGTGTTGGTTTGTGAAATCATAGCATTATACTGAGAGGTTTGTGGTTGTAACTTAACAAAATGAACACTTGTCACCTCGCTTTAGGGAATATACCGAAAGGTTCCGACAAATGCATAAGAGCACACCTGAAGAGACGAAGGAAGGCCCAGAGGGAGGGACCGGAAGCGGTTGTTGTCCAGCTGCAGCTCCAGAAGCTTCTGCAGAGGTCGAAAAGCTGCAGGCGACACACTGCCTTCATAAAGGGTGTTCATCCTTAGCTCCAGCTTCAACAAGTTTTTCACACCTAAAAAGAAATTGTAAAAATGTTGTTTTTTTTCTGTTTTTTTTTATTTTAATAAAGTTTTTGTCTTGTGTTTTTCCTTCTACAGCATATCCCGGTTGTACCTTGGAAGCAGTGATCCATGAGGACAGTCAGTTTGTTCTTATTAATCTTGAGCTCCTCTAGAGATGCTGGCAGCGCTGGAATTCTGATGATCTGGTTGTCGTCCAGATTCAGTTTTCTCAAAAGGGTCAAGTTCTGCATGAAAACCCGATTTCAGAAAGAGATAAAATGGCCAGTGTGATTAAAAAAGACAAAATAGAAGCCTGCCTTAAAGTCCATAATTTTCTATTCCGCTTTGAGTTTACAGAAAAGAACCAAATGAAAGAATTGCTATTCTGTGAATCTCTTCCATGTCATTTTATCATGTTTTATTTTTAGTAAAAACCGCTGTGGGAGGTTTCTCGGTAGAAACGGCTCCGGTGGTTTATGTGCGAGGGAAAGCAGAGGACAGGATCTTTTACAGTGTCCCTCTAGCCAGTCCATCAGCCCTCTGTCATTATGGTGAGGTGAGGAGAAAAAGGAGAGAAAAAAAAAAAGTACTCTTCCAAAAATAATTTCCTTTTGTTCCTCAACGCATTGGCTTCAGTGTATCAGTGGTGAAGAGTAATGATTGGTCAGAACACAGCGGTTGCCTCGGTGTGGTCGGGATCTGAGTATGGCATGGAATCAATCGAAGGTTTTACTTAAAAAGCATCTGTTAATGCAACTTCAATTATCCTGACTCCTAGCTGTAAAGTGACTCATACGATCTGCTCATTAGAAAAGTGCACATGTTCCACTAAAGACTTGCAAACCAGATGAAAGTTGTAGATGAAGTTCAAAATTTGCAATAAAGATTTTCTGTTTGGCGTAAATTTTTATTTGATTCTTTTAGTTTTTGTGGATAAACAAGGCATTGTTGAAGTGAGAGGGAAGTCAGCTATGTTGTGCAGCAGCTGTGTTTCCATTAACCGTAGAATTGCGCAAATTGAAATTACGAAAGTAAATTTCACAGCACAGAAAATTTTGGGGGGAAGAAAAAACAAGTTTTCCATAAAAGTTTTTTTTTTTTTTTTTGTGCTAGAAGGAGGTGGTTTTCAGGTTGTATATCAGTGAAAAGCTAAGCGGAAGGAAAAAGTGTGGTAAGAAAAGGTTCAGAAGCATCAGCGACAATGGCAGCCTTGAAAAGGTTTAGGAACAAAGCCCATTCAAGTGTTTGAGAGAGATCCAAAGGGCATGTAGATGGAGTAAAAAACCCCATCACAAATAGATCCAGGGCATAGTCAAAACCCATTTGCATTCTTTATTTTAAGCCTCAAGAGAAAGTGTTTCATTTGGACAAGGAAGAAAAAAGATTGGGTGAGTGGTCTAAAGTTTTTTTTTTTTTTTTTTCCTTTAAGTTAGAAGTCAAGGTCGCAGAGTCTTGGGGAAGAGAGAAAAGTTATATGATCCAAGTTGGAAAGTTTCTGCAGTCAGAGATGATTTGGGGGAGCCATGTCATCCGCTGGTGTTGGTCCACTCCGTCTTATCAAGTTCAAATGCAGTGCAGACGTCTACCAGGAAACTTTGGAGCCTGTTATGGTTCCCTCTGCCGACAGGCTTTATGGCTTTATTTAATGACAATGCTATCACAGTGATTGATAGGCCTCACATTCCTCCAACAATGCCGTTTATTAAGGCAGTCACTGAAATAACCTGGACTGCATTGATGCAATAATTTATGCAAGTGTTTGGAGCACTGACTTTTTTTATTTTAAAATATTTATAATTTTCTGGCTGCAGAAGGAGTTGATGGATCTTTCCCTGCCAGTTTCAAGAAAGCAGCCATACTCACGAGCAGGCAGTTCTGGCTAAACGACTCGTCGTCCAGTTGGTTCTGGCTCAGATCCAGTTCATCCAGGCTTCGCAACCCAAACAAACTTTGCGGAGTGATGATTCTGATGTTGTTTTCTTGGAACAGAAAATAATATGTAGTGCAATTAATAAAAAAATCATATAAGCAAAAAACTGGTTATTGTGACACAATAGAAAAAAATATTAATACACGTTTTAAGCTCTTAATTACATATGTTGGCATCTCTTAATTTCTTGCCATCTACCTCTTGTATACATCATTCCTGGTTTTTCTTTATTTTATTTTATTTTATTTTATTTTATTGTCCCACAGGGTTTATCCACTGTGGGACAATAAAGACAGTTGTGTGCTAGACCCTGTATGTGAAGTTGTGGTCAGAAGTTTCCAAACGCATATCATGAACATGAATGTCATGTTTAAAGATGTGTGAATTTTGAAGGCTAAATTAATGTACAGTTTCAATGATTTTTAAAAACAGGAAATGGATTCAAAAGTTTAAATGTATTGCCTACTGCAATGTACTTACATTCCAACTAATATTGGGTTAAAAGTCCCATAGTAAGTTGTACTTCTGATTGAAGACTTTTTGTGTGGCCAAGGCTTGAACATCCACGGTTCAAGACTTTCATAAACTGGAAGTCTCTGTCTGCAGTGAAGTAACTGTTACATAACCATGAACGTAAGAGGGTTTTGCAAAACTAAACATGTCTACAACAGAATTGTTTTGTTGTCCATGCAGGACAACAAAAAAAGGGGCAAGGACTGATGCCAAAAAGCATGTTTGGAGAGTCATGGAGAAGCTCGGAGAGGCTTTCACACTTAAGAATACGGCGCCAAATAATGGTGGGTTGTGCACGATTTTGATAGCAGCGTCACACTGAAGGGCTGTTTTTGCTCCGAGGGAACAACTGCTGCATCACACAAAGTGCTGGGATAAAATTTCCGCCATTTACAACCACATGGACATTTTTTGACATCATGCCGGGAGACCACCACTCCAAATACCCAGCTCAACTATGTCAGATCCTTGAAAACTGTTAAAAAAGAAACATCACTTTCTAAGGAATGTTTATAAAGTATTAGTGAAGCTATGTATATATATTTAGGTCTTCATGTATAATTTTGAATCTATGTGGATTCACATAAATGATAAAAATCACTGAAGTTGTATTTTTCAACATCAGATCATTCCAGAGAAAGAACGGTTACAGTCAAAGCCCTAATTTAATCTGACAATAATGTAAGTAATAAATGTATATAAACTTCAGACTGGAATTTCAAAAAAGAAAAAAATGTATGGAGAACACCAACTTTTAATGAAATAGAATGCTCTTTTTTAAATATTTTGTGTTATTTCATTGGGCTTAAACAAGCTTGTTATTTGTTCCGTCAGTGGTCCTGTCACACACACCTCCCAAGTCAAGCTTTGTCACTTCCAGGTTCTGGAAAACTGGCAGGTGAGTCATCCCGACAGCCCTGCAGCTCATCTCTGCGTCTGCAGTCTGGCATTCAGCTGGAGGTCCAGTAGAGTTGTCCTGTGTTTCTGTTTGATTAGTAGGAGGTTCTGTGGCCTCCTCCTCTTCCTCTTCTTCTTCTTCCTCCTTCTCTTCTTCCTCCTCCTCCTGAAGTGAAACAGAAAAACTTCTTTACATACTGCAGACTAGAAAATAATGCGTACAACAGCAGGATTTTGAATAAAATTAAACCTCTTCTTCATCATCGTCGTCGTCATCGTCATCATCATCATCATCATCATCATCTTCCTCCTCCTCATCACTGTCCTCTTCTTCTTCCTCCTCCTCTTCCTCTTGTGTTTTTCCATTATCCATCAGTCGTTTCTTTTCTGCATGAAGTTCCTTCAGTGTCGCCATAAGGAGGTTGGTTTCCATCTCTCCCTTGGCTCTCTGTCTCCAGCCTTTCAGAGGTTGCCTTAATCCGGCCTGCAAAACGCAGCAGGAAACCAGTGACATCATTAACTCAAGAGTAAAGTAACAGAAATATTGACTTCAGATGACAGAACTGGCTTAGTTAGTTGGAAACGATGCAGAAAAATGTGTGAATATATTTACTATTCGATACGCAGCGGCCTCTACTGTAGCAGCGTGTCTTCTCCTGCCCCAAGCACTTCTCCTCCCTCTGACAACCTCTAGCGTTTTACGATCAGCTTTCCTCTGATCCGTCTTTCTTTCCAATTCCAGCTGGGGCTGCACTTCTGTTCCTTCAGTCATTACAGTTCAGTTAAATAGTCAGTGAAACGCAGGTGAAATCAAATATTTACATCCACTGTATCAAAAAGACACATAATCATTTCCCACCCTCACTGCTTGACATTAAGTCTGACAAAATTGTTTCTGGTTTAGGTCAGTTAAGATGCAGGAATTTAGGCTTCTTCCTCCTGACAGAACTGGTTTAATTAGTCAGGTTTGGCGGCCATCTTGCTTAGTTACATCTCTTCAGCTCTGTGTGCAATTTCTGATAGGCATAAAGTCAGGACTTAGAGATAGTGAAGCCAGATAATTGTTTTTACTGTCTGGTAAGTCACGTGGTATCTTTAGGTTTATTGTTCATTTGTTAAACTTCCCGGTTCATGTTGAAATGATGCTTCTATAATCCACCTCATGTTCTTTCTTATAATCATCACTACTCTCAACAAACTCAAACTCAATGAGTGGTTTATATTCCTGCTACTATTTGCGCATCTTTTATTATGTGCAAAAATGTTATATACTCTTGTAGATCGCATTTTTGTTTTTCTCTTATGCACACATATCCAGGGGTATTGTGTACCCTTTTTTACATTATGGAGACCATATCTCCAACATTGTCCTTTAACATCTCAGAATCTCACACAGCCATAACCAACTGACTTTTCCCGCATTGTTTAAAGAAACAGGACTGAATGTATGTACGTCTGAATTTGAAGAAAATTGTTTTTAAAAATTCTCAAAAATCCCTGTGCCATTTAATATGTGATTTCAAGTGCATACAAGAACATGCCTGTAGAAACAAACTTAGATATTAACTCCAAATTTGTTAGGTTATTGAACATTTAATTGTGGAAAATAGGCAGAAATAAACAGAAATGTTTAATTATCTTACCAGTGATAAGCTGATCCGAAACCCTCTCTCCTGAATCGGTCCCTGATGAACGACTGGTAGCCATTTCTATTTCAGGTGCGTCAGACTTTATTTCCAGGATTGCATTCAGGTCATGCGACAATTCTTGGGTTTCCCCTGAATAAATTGTGCTGCTCACACAAATGATCACAATCCATATTCTCAGGACTTGCATTATTGGATTTTTGCTCATTTACTCTTCAGTTTAGGTCCCAAGCTTCTACCAGCTTTGAGGCAATAAAAGAAAGAAAACAAAACAAAATATGATGCAATTCCAAAGGAAAAAAAAAAAAAAAAAAGCTTTTGTCGAATAGATCCTTTTTCTAAAAATACTTGTGCTTGGTATTAGAAGTTCATTGTGTGAATGAGGAGAAAGAAAGAGGATGGAAGGAAAATCTGGGAGGTGGACAGGTTGAAAAAATAAACTCCCACTATGCTAATAAAGGTACTCCATCATTATACCAGAAAGCACAGACACGCCTCGCTCCTCCTTGTCTCCTCTCTTTCTCAAAACTGTCTGCAGACTCTGAGCAGAAAGAAGCAATTCTCATGTTTACTATACAACCTAAAAAAGAAAGAAATTCTAGTATAGAAATCTTAAAAAAAATGAGGAAAAAGTCTCATCTTAAAACATTTTTAATTAACTGATTTAGAAGATGGGTGAGGACGGTGTGCACGTATCTTGGCAGGGAAACAGAGTTGATAGAGGGGTCAAGTCAGAGACAACCATGTTTGGCCAGGCTCCACTAGCAGCCACATATTAAAACAAATATGGACTCCGAGGAGAGAACAATACAGGAATCTTTACATTCTCTGCTTACATACTGTTCATGAACTGTGGAGTGTGCGAGTCGTCACACTTGCCCTTTGCACCCAGCTCAAAGTGGAACCAACACGGGATTTTCACTGCGAGGTGAAACATGCTGACAAACTCCCTTTCCTTTTTGAAGAAACCACACAGATGAGCAGTAAATCTACCCAGAGGTGCTTCGACATTGCTGGTTTAGGTCAGTCTACATGACAATGAGACTCATGGATTCATTGGTGCTAACGGAGAGCATGATGATTTTCACACATCGGGCGCAGCTGTTGGGACAGAGGCGATAGACACAGTCCAAATGGCACCGTGGACAACTTCACACTAAACACTGAAACACTCAGGTCCTGATGCGCTCCTCCAAGGTAAACAGTAAACTGTCCACAGATGATTCATTTTAGCCTCGACAGGAACACACAGTAATCCACTGACCACATTCAACATCCCTCTGTAACCTCAGTCTGACAGCACAGCTAAATTACCAGCTTTTACCAGCAGGCATGGTGCTGAGTCTAGATTTTCCTTCCACATACTAAAATGTTTAGTTTACCAATATGAATTGTTTATATAACGGAGAAAGTACAGACAGAAGACCCATAGTGGAATTATTAATACCTTCAGCTGTTATGTTGTTGTTCAGCTAAGAAAAAAAAAAAGACCCTCATGGGAAACAGTGTAGTTTACAAGAACCAAAAAAGTAAAAAAAAAAAAAAAAATCCTCAATTTATCCTGCAAATTAAAAACACAAATCCTGTTAAAGACAATTTACAACTCCAGTTGGTACTGGTTCCACAATCTTCTCTGGTGAGAAATGTAGTGTTGATGCCAAAGGAATTTTAACATAGTAGTAGTAGAAGGCTTGTAAAGATTATTTTAGAATGCCAATGGATTTGCAGTTTCAAAAACAAGATAAAAAAGTATCCATTACAACAAAAATATAGTCTGTTGCATAAGTTATATAGTTATTAAAGATATACACACTTAATGCAGTGAAAAAAAAGCTATGCAAACATTATGTTGTAACTACCCTAAAGATGCATAAGGCACTTGTTGCAATCTCATTGAAAACATTTCAGTTTTATTGTACACATTCACAGCATTATATTTGGATTCCATGTAATAGACCACTATACTTTAATGCACAATTATAAAGTGGAATAAAAAGTATGTATACCAGTCTCAGACATCAAAAAAATAAAGTGGGGCATTATTTAGATAAATTTTATTTGGTTGAAACCGAGGGGAAAAATATTTCTTTAGAGTAAGATTTGTTGATGTCTGGTTTAGGATGAGGATGTCTTAATGGATGTAAGGAATTTTTTTAACAGTGTGCTGAAAGATGTTCTACTAGGGTTAGATTGTGCATTTTAGAGTACAGTGGAATCACAATTTTCACAAACGCACAAAGAAGCGCTGGTCCAGGAGTACAGGGCATCCCCCTCCACCTCCAGCACACTTAGCTCCTTCAAACTAGCAGCAGCAATTAGCAAACGCCTGGTGGATCTGCACATCTACTGAGCTTATTATATAAATCACTTCTCAGTACAGTGCTCCCATGAATGTAAACGCTTAGAGTAATGAGATGACATGCTCAAGGCAGAATGTAAGAAAGAAAAGTTTCTTAAAGAGACAGAGGCCAATTTCAAGGCATTAAATTTTGAAGTCAAATTTCTTTTAAGTCATGTTTGATATATATACAGCATTTTTATAACAACTGAAGGTGTCACAATTATTTGATTGTGCTATATAATAAGTGGCTGGAAAACATCCCTTTAATTACACAGACTTGGCGTTTCCAGTTGCTGCTTCTTTGAGAGAAACGCAGCTAAACAAATCCGAGCACCGAGCTTGAGGTACAACCAAATTTATCTCAGAGTAGATGAAGTGGAAAAAACACAATGGAATTAGCATCAGGAAGTAAACAACAGACAGCAATAATGGTGTTAAGCCATGAACTTTTAATTTAGCACATCACAGCTACAACAGGTGGAACTTGAAAACCTGCAAACACCAAAAGCATCGTTAGATTTTGTGGGATCAGGAATTGCTATGGAATGTTATTGTGTGACTTAATTCTGCGGTAAAGAAAACATCTGAAATCTGAGCTAAAGGTTTTCACTACATAAGAGATACAGTGCATTGCAAAAACAGCAGTCATAGTGAAAAGCCAGAGTTGATGAAAAGAAATAAAATAAGGGGAATGATGATAAAAGTTGTGGCCTGAGTTAATTGACAATCAAAATTTGGACTGTCAAATTTTACAGTAGTTTTCAGCTTCAACAAGCATTTGGGAAAAGGAATGTCTGACAAAGGTGGACAAAGGTAAAGGGGTTATTTGCAAAACACATTTCACTCTGCTCTTAAAATGCAATACATGGTTAGTGAACTGCAGTTCTAAAGCCACAAGATGGCAGTAGAGAGGCTAGCAGGTGTGGACGATAGACAGATGGAAGCAGGTTGTGATGAAAGCTCAGAAGATGGAGTCTTTAGTTTGCAAAGGTCTGGCGGACAGCGGTGACGATGTGCTTGGCACTGATGCCAAATATATCCAGGAGCTCCTGGGGCTTCCCACTGCGGGGAACGCCACTCACTGCCAGCCGGGTAACCACGATGCCGGGCTCCCCGCCCACTGCAGACAGCACGGCTTCGCCGAG